AACGTCTCCTCCCGCCCGAGCCACTTTCCCTTTGGCAATTGAAGTAAACAGCTGCCACAGGAGAACCAAGATTATATAGCTCGGCAAAATCCCTGGTGTTGAAATTCTGGCGCCAGCCCGGTGCATACACTGTCTGACGCCCTAGCTGACGGAATAACACAAACACAAATCGATGGATGCCCATAGACGGACGAGGATTCTCATAGCATACAATCTCCTGACCTGATCAATTGGTTATGCAATTATACATAAAAATAAAATTAAAAAATGAATCTCTATATGCTCAATATTTTGGCAATTACAATCCAATGTTCTTAAGAAAAAAAAAAAAAAGGTATTCAAAAATTCCAATACAATAATACATGTATGACATAAATTTGATTGATGATGAATCAATTGGTACATTAATAAAGTAGTGAGTGATGGTAGGTACTACTTAGCATGACTAAATTGAAAGGAACATGATGCTATGCACCACTTAGAGAGAAGAGGAAACATAGTATACCTTATCCACCAATTAGGACTTATAAAATTCAATGCGAAAAGACACACTTAGAACATTCAAAGACATTTCTTAGTAGTGATTCTTTTATCATGTTGGAGCCATAAACATTGAAAAGTCATAAGTAATTGAGATACCTAAGCATCAAAGGACCGTGATTCCATTATCTTGTCGTGGTCAATAATGGAAAAAGAAATTGACTAGAGATTGGGAGGGAAATAAAAGAAACCAGAAACGTATAAAATAGAACGTTATAATGCACATGGAGTTTGTAATAGTAGTGGTAGTAGCATTCATCTACTGAATGAGTGTTAATCAGGAAAATTATTATTTAAAAAATTAAAATATATAGATATTTTCTTTTTTTTTTAGAATTAAAAAATATAAAAAGTAGAAGTTATTATTTCAAATATTTAAATACTTTAAATTAATTATATTATATTATTATTTAAAATGACATCAATTGCCTAGAAAATTCACTCAAAAAGGTAGATATATGAAATGATGATCACAAATAAAAAAAATAATAAAATTTAAAATATATTTCTAAATTTATGGGTAAAATCTGAGACCTACATGAATTCCTCACAAATTNATGTTAATTGCGATTGTGTTAGTGATTGGTAATTGATGAGATACAATCAAATTTATTCAAACTAGAATTTTATATTTTATTTTATTTTTGTTAGAATACACACACAGCACACAGTAAAGTTGATAAACCTTTTACAATAGTAGATATGACAACACGAGTAGGACCAGTGTTTCAACAAATACCTAGTAACTGTAAACTGTAGTATGAAAGACACATGCATATATATATATATATATATCAATTAGTCAGTGAGGAAAAAAATATATATGACCACTCTAGATTGATTTTCAATTATTTTGTAGGGGAATAATATCATTCTTCTAGTACATGCATGATTTGCTCATAAAAGCTAATTTCACTGTCCAAGATTCTTTTTTGTTTATTAGTTACCGTTTCTACAAAACTTGTATTGGACAATAACCAACCTTCCTGCAAACCCAAATATAAAAAGACACAATTTTTGTTAGCTTTTTAATTCTTGTTTTTTGGGTCATGGCTTAGAAGTCAACAAATATGATGATCTTTGCTTTCATACTAGCTACTTGTTTGGCTATTAACTGATCATGTTTAGCTTTATTAGCATTTTGTATAGATGTTTTGAAAGTTTTTTTTTATGTATGTAACTTTTATCTTCTAAATGCTAGCTGTTCTATTGAGTTTAATTTTTAGAATTAACGTTTTGAACCCAATAGCAAATAAGTTTGTGTTAACGGATTTAACCTGTCAAAACCTCTAAATACGTACAGATCAATTCGCTAACTTTCAAGCTATGTTAACTTTGTAATGTGAAAAATCTGTTAAAACGACCAATAGAGAAAGCACGGGAATAGAATTTGTTGAGTGAATCTTGACTAATTAATAATGCCTATTATTTTTTTCTCGTGGACAATAATTAATGAAAAGATAGCCAATTAGACAAGCAAACACAGCATTATTCTGGCTAATGCTGGGATACAAACCGAGCCACGATTCATAGTCACACAACGTTCAATAACGAATAAAAATTAACTAGTGGGATATTTTACTTTAATTTTTCGAGATAGAGACAAATTAATATACACAGCTTTTGGGCTGCTAAAAAGGAATAATAGGCAATGGTTTCAACTTTGAAAAATGTAACATTTTTTTTTCCAAGCTTCAGCATACGGAAAAAAAAAAGGTTAAATAAATTGATTTCAATCAATATACATGGTTTTTGAGCGTTATTATATATTCTTACCAGTGCAAATATTCTCTAAGATTAGGATCACTAGGGCTTGGAGCATCAGGGTCTACCATAACCTGTAAAAAAGAAAAAAAGAAAGAAAAATTGTAATTAGAAGCAAAAATAAAAAAATAATCAACGTCTCCAGAAAAATATGGTTTCGAACACGACACCATCATTTGATGTGGATAGCATATTTTTTTTGCAACTATAGTATTTTAAAGCAAATCGTATACATTTAAAAAAGTCATGAAAAATAGTAGTAATTAAAGGCAAAAATGAAAAAAAAAAAAATCAACGTCTCCGGAAAAATTTGGTTTCGAACACTGACACCTTCATTTGATGTGTATAACATATTTTCTTGCAGTCATCGTGTTTTGACGGCAAAATTGACTGAATTCAGAAAGAGAGACACGAAAACAACACGATTGTAATTAAAACATAATTGTAGAGACGAATGATAAAATGGCCACTGACGCGAAGACACGAAACAACCCTATACATAACACTGAAAAACATGAAAAAATAACAATTTGGTATCATAATTATGACATAATAAAATAGATTATAGATTATAATACCAAAATAATGAAACGGTTATACTATATGTTAACAAATTACAGAGATGAAAGCTTGAAAAACAGAGACAAGAAACAAGAAATTAAGCAAACACAATTGGATTTGACACTAAAATTGGTACAGAAATTAAGCAAACAACAAATAAATAATAATTAAGTAAAAATTAGTATGAATTAATGAATGAATTAGATTAATTACCAGAGTGTAGAAAGTGCGGAGGTCATCGCCACCGACATCAACCCTAGGCTGGTTAACGACTTGAGATGGCCTAAACTCACAGCCATTAGAAACTTCTCTGTTGTTGTAAATAACTCTAAGCCCAATGGATCTTGTGAATGGATCCAATACTTCACCTATAACCCGACCCACAACTAGCGGGTCTCTATCCCTTGGCATTTTTTTTTATCTATAATATAATTAATTAATATTCTATATCAATTTTTATTTTTGATTTGGAGAGAGAAGAAAAAAAAAGTAGTATTTGGGTATTCTGCATGCAGTTAACTGCTGGAACTATTTATAGCTTGTAGCTCGACACACACACCATGCACACAAAGTTGGGTGTATCTATATATTTTATGTTGATGGTGACACCTAATTTAATTTCTTTACATTGTCTATAAATATTTTTTGGACCAGAGTCAATGCTAATAAGCCAAATATTTATCCTAAATCTTTTCAATTTCAAATTTGATTCATCTCATATTTAATTTTAATTTGTTGTCGCGCTCTCCAGGCTTGTTATTCGTCCTTTGAAATTCTCTCATCAACTTAAAAACAAAAATTAAAATGGGTGATTGTCAAACTCACAGTTCATGTATGAGACTAGAGACCTTTTCAAAATGTCAATTTTGGTTTAATAAGTCATAATTAGTTCATTTTTTTAATAAATATAATATTTTAAATATTAAGATCCATATTTTTTATATTTTAAAGTAGAAAAGGGTAATGCTATAAGTACATAATAGTTTACATAAAGGTGTACATAAAAAATAAAAAGAAAAATGCTACAAGTACATAATAAATGTACATAGAAGTGTACATAACATTCACATGTAGTGGAGTCCATTTAATTTTTTTATTTTTGGTAGGACCCACTTAATGTGAGTGTTATGTAAACCTCTATGTAAAGTATTATGTACCTATAGCATTTTTCAAATAAAAAATCAAGTAAACCCCACTCCATGTGAGTGTAATGTACACTTCTATGTACATTTATTATGTACATGTAACATTTTTCATGTATCTAGATGCTAGAAGGGCTATTTTCCATGTATAGATGATATGAGACAACTCACAAGTGATATTCTAACACGTCCCCTCACTTATGAGTCCTTTGGAAACCCAAGCCTAACTGGGTTGGGTGACGGTTACGTCGTTGCAATGTCCCACGTAGGCCCAAGTTCAACTGGGCTGGGTGAACCGGCTCTGATACCATGACAGAAACTGGAGGAAAAACAAGTGCGGGCCTATTAACATGAAGCGCACCATGAACGGGAAAATACCATATGAAGCCAAATTGAGTTCCATCCCAAAACCAATTGGTGGAAGGAGGAGTAGCTCATAGACTTATAAGGTGTGCCTATTTTCTATGTATGAATAATGTAGGACAACTCACGAGTGATATTCTAATAAAATGTACAACTATTACTGACTAATTGTACTGCAATAAGACTACTTATACACTTGTATAGTTAGAGGACTACTTTTCAAATTTCACCGCTAGATTTAGATCCTGTTTGTGATATTCGGGTCGAGCATGAACGACTACTTTATACACTTGTATAGTTAGAGGACTACTTTTTAAATTTCACCGCTAAATTTAGACCCCGTTTGTGATATTCGGGTCGAGCATGAACCCGGGCCCACAAGCCATGTCATCACTAGGCTGTGGGTGTGAAGAGGGCCAAGAGAAATATTTGGTTGGTAATAGATTTGGGAAAAGTGGAAATATTTGGCTGTTAATAGATTTGAGAAAGTGTGAAGAAGACAATGAAAGGAAATATGGGGACCGAATAGAGGAAAATTCGTATTCTGAATGGGGGAATAGTGAAAAAGAAAATATTAACCAACAGGCCGAAGAAAAGCTGCTTTAGACCCACACCAAAGGACATAAAAAAATCCCATCACACTCTTAAATAGCGTACAACCTTTGTATTTGCATCTGATGTTTCTTTATCAACATCGTTTTGTGGCCTCATGTCTCATCCACCTCGTACTTGAGTTTTTCCTTCTTTTTTTGTTTCCTGTATCTTTTTCTTTTATTTTCCCTCAAAAGTTTACCTTCTATTAATAATTTTTTGGACAATTATTATAGCGGATAGAATAGATAACGCATTATATTAGTTAATTTCACTAACAAATTCAATTACCGATTTGTCAAATAAGCATAAATTTATGGCTACTACTTACTACCGCCTCTTTTTTTTCTCTTTCACAATACAATGTTCTTTTGAGCTTTTTCAAAATCTAATGTATTGGATTAAAAGAAAAACTAATAAAATAAGTTCGTTTCCAAACGAGTTAACTAGCAGATTTGATTGCTCAAATCTCTATATGAGATCCAATTCCCAGTTTAGCATAAATCTGTCAATAAACAAGCGAGCCCTTCTAAATCTTAACACACAAATTACAATTAAATGTGGATTGATAATTCGAACCCTTGGCGAAAGGATAAAATATATTATTTCAAAATTATACTAGTGCGTGGCCCGTGCGATGCACGAAAAAACAATATTACGATTGTATTATAAATTAATATATAAATAACATTAATCATGATTTATCCATTGTTTTTAAATTAAATCGGGTTGGACACAGTCCGACCGGATAGACCGAGAACCGGTTTATAAATAGTATAGTTCGCTGAATAAAATATTTACTCTCGAATCCGTCAACACCAGTCGGTTGGATTGGTAGGATCGATATGATTTTCTAAATAAATTTTGTTATATTTAAAATTATTTTAAATAAAATTACATATTTAAATAAAATAGAGATTTATAAATTATTTATCAATTAGTTTAAACATTTGAATTTATAAATTGTTTAGATATCTAAGTAACACATTTGATTTAAATTGATTACAAAAAGTACTATATATATATATATTAAAATTTGAACAAACCACGAATGATTTAATAAAATAGCTTGATCATTTCGATGACGGTCCAGTTCTGAAAACCTTATATTTACTGTACATTAATAAATATTATAATAAAATATTATTTAATTCACATAAATATTAATAAAATGATATATAAATATTTATAAATCATTAAACATGTTGTCATAAAATTACTGTTAATACGATTATTTGAAGTTTGGACTACATCTCATTCACGTAATAAAATATTTCCAATATAAAATTTATTATTTGGTTCAATAATCGATTTGGTTTGGTCGAACTGATACATAACTTAGTCACATCGGACCAACCAAGTTGTGTCAAGTTTTTTGACTATTTAAATATCACCTAAAAATAATTCAATCAATCTGGGCAGTAGTCTAATTCAATCACCCGATTGATCCGAAGAAATTTTTTTATTTTTTTCTAAATATATTTAATTTTATGAAATAAAAATATTTTATGATTCGTATAATAAATGTCTACACCAAATGATAGTATATTAAGATTATAAATTATATATCTAAAAGTGAATTAATTATTTTTACTTTATGCATATTAATAAAAAAATAAACATAGTAATTTTCAAAAAATTAAGATTAATTGATTGATTATGCAATTTAAAGAATATATTTAGAGATCAATATTTTTTTTAAAGCCACAAATATAAAGACAGAGATTCTAAAACTTTTGTTATATTTTGAATTGAGATTTTAATGTTGTTCGTTGTTTCTAAGAAAAAAATAAAAATAAAAACATACAGACTTAATAAATTTTAGCCGGATTTTTCAAATAATAAAATGAACTAAAGCCCGAAATTTAAAATAGCATTTAATGATGTATGATTTTTAAAGAAAAAATAAGAAAAATAATATAACTTACTTTTTATAGGCTACATTAAATTCTGACCTATTTTTTTACTATTATTTTTGGTAAATAGTAATTCTTATTATATATATATAGATTCTAATTTTATATTTTATTTTATTGAATGAATAACACGTATCAGTAATGGTGTCATTATTGTACATGGGGTTATGTTGTCATTATTCTACATGGGTCATGTTGAATATAAGATAAAAATATAATCATTATTCAATCGTCAAACCGGTATGGCCTGGGCTGGAGGTCTTTTGCGAGACGAAGGGGGTAGATGGGTGTCCGGTTTTGCTATGAACATTGGATTTTGTTCGATCTTTGGTGCGGAATTATGGGGGTTGTTCCAAGGTTTGTCTTTGGCCTGGGACAAAGGGCACCGCATGGTGGTTGCGAAAGTTGATAATAAAGGCGTGGTGGACATGGTGTTGAAGGTCGGAGAGCTGTCAGGGGCACATAGCAACATTATTCAAGGAATTAAAGGGTTGCTGGTGCGAGACTGAACAAATTGAGGTCCGTCATGTCTATCGTGAAGTAAACTTCGCAGCCAACTATCTTGCGTCAATGGCCTCGAGCATGCCGAGTGGACTTCACATATTTGACGACCCTCCCACGGGGGTGAAACCGTGGCTTGAACATGATGTTCTAGGGGTATCTTACCCTCGTAATGTCGTAGTCTATGGCACTCGCCTCCTTATTTGTACAAAAAAAAAAAAGAAAAAAAAGAAAGGAACTTTGTTAATTTTGAAGAGATAATAAGCGAATGCATCATGAAATCATGAAGAAACGTTATGTCAATTACAACTTTACAACAAAGAATAATATGAATTATTTGGATACGTAAGCCAATAAAAGTCCATTTGCATATTGGTATGCGTTGGTTTGTAAGTCAACCAAAGTCCCATATTGATTAGACATGGTTATTCATGAATTTATAAGTGGATATATTTTTTATATTTTAAAATATATGTATGTTAATTATATAGAGATAAAACTTAAAAAGCAATTAAGTAAAATTTGCGGCATGAATAAAAAACAAAATCATAACTGATGAAGACGAGACCGCCCTAGCCTTTCTCGACAAATTCGACCGTCTACGCATCTAGATTATTCTACATATTATATTTCCTATTATTATTTAGTAAGAGATATTTTATTTCCTTAGGAGTGTTTTATTATTTAGGAATAAATAAGATAATTATCTTGTTGCACAAGATAATTAGAATTAGGATTCTCTTTCATAGGACTCTATATATTGTCCCTCTCTTATGAAGTTTGATCGATGAACATTGAATAAAATTAAGAACTCTTGAGTTTTCTCTTATATTCCTTTCGTCTACCACGTTGCTGCATCAGTTGGTATCAGCTGTCGGGACGATTCAAGATGCCGCCA